AGGCAAAGAGTCAACTTATCGTAAAATGACTCATTCTTTCTTATGAAATTAAACTTATCAAAAATGCTTATAAAATAACACATATTTATGCTGCTTAAGGGGCAAGTACTCAACAAAATAAATAGTAAATTCTAAATAATAATGATTAATAATAAATAACAAACTTTTAAGAAAAGAAAATGAAGGCTCATTTTAGGTAAGTAACATAACAAAGAATACTCATATAAATTCAAAACTTAGCATACTTACTGTAACAGGGCTTCATTTTGTTTCATTCCAAGTTGAGATTGCTGGAAAGAAAAATAATTTTTTCTAACTGGTAAATATAAACTCAAAGAAACAAGCTAAAAATTCAACATTTAAGATCAGTCTTATGTTATTCTTAATTTCTTTCTATAAAAGAATCTGTGGAACTTAAATGGATAAAAAAGAGGAAGATTCTCAATGAGATAGAATGACACAGGTCTGCAACAATGGGCTCAAACAAACCAACAACTGTGAGGATAGGACCAGGCAGTATTTTGTTCTGTTATACTCAGGGTTGCTATGAGTCAGATCTGACTCAACAGAACCTACCGATAAGAACAACAAATGGAGAGAACGGGAAGAATTCTTTTCCTTATTTTGATTTTAACCCCTCTCCTATTTCATTAATCCATCATGGTTCTGAGAAGCCATTTTTGTCAAGTACTGAGTTATAATACTTCCCCAGAGGGCCAGATATTATAGAAAGTAGAAAAGTGTTATGCTAAATGTTATACTTATTATAAAATAACACTTTTACTAAGTCTTTTTTAATTACACAATACGTTTTACAGGAAGAACATGTAACTTTTTTCTGTAAAGGGCCACAAGGTAAGTATTTTAAGCTTTGTAGGCCCAAAGGCTCCTTAGAAGCGAGACTGGCCAGACTTCATCTCTCCTTCTTTGGTCATGATGTCAGAAAGGACCATTCCTGGAGAAGGATATTATACTTGGTAAAGTAGAAGGTCAGAGAAAAAGGAGAAGACTTCAATAAGAAGGACTGACCCAGTGACTGCAACAGTGGGCTCAAGTATAGCAAGGATTGTGAAGGTGGCAAAGGACCGGGCAGAGTTTTGTTCTGTTGTACATGGGGTCACCATGAGTTGAAGTCAATTTGACGACACCTAACAACAACAGGCCCAAAGGCAAAATTAAGAATATTTTATAGGTACTTATGTAAACAAGTCTGCCAGTTTACTGTACTATGGTGGCATGTGTGTTGCTGTGAGGCTGGAGGCTATGCCACCAGTTTTCTGAATAATAGCAGGATCACACATAGTTGACAGCTTTCAGTGGAACTTCCAGACTAAGACAGACTGGGAAGAAGGATAGGGCCATCCACTTCTGAAAAAACTGGACAATGGAAACCTTATGAGTAGGAGTGAAACACTGTCTGGTATATAGCTGGAAAACTTTTTGAAGCCATGAAATGCTATATGAAAGAATGCTGGAAGATGAGCCCTTCAAGTTGGAAGATATTAAAAATTTGACTGGGGAAGAGCTGCCTCCTCAAAATAAAGGCAACCTTACTGACATGGATGGAGTAAAGTTTTCAGGACCTTCAATTGCTGATGGGGCATGACTCAAAATGGGAAAAAAAGTAGCTGCAAACATTCATTATTAACAGGAACATGGAATGTATGAAATATGAAACTAGGAAAAGTGAAGTTGTCAAAAATGAAGTACAACACATAAAGATCAATATCCTAGGCATTAGTGAGCTGAAATGGACTAGTATTGGCTATTTTGAATCAGACTCATATGGTCTACTGCACTGGGAATGACAAATTTAAAAGGAATGGCTATGCATTCTTTGTCAAAAAGAACATTTTAAGATCTATCCTGAAGCACAATGTTGTCAGTGATAGGATAATATCCATATGCCTAAAACGAAGACCAGCTAATATGACTATCATTCAAATTTATGCACTGACCGCTAAAGCCAAAGATGAAGAAACTGAAGATTTTTACCAACTTCTGCAGTCTGAAATCAACCAAACATGCAATCAAGGTGTGCTGATAATTACTGGTGATTGGAGTAAGAAAGCTGGAAGCAAAGAACCATTGGTAATTGAAAAATATAGCCTTGGTGATATAAATAATGCTGGAGATCGCTTGATAGAATGTTGCACAACTGCCTTATTCATTGCAAATGCCTTTTTTCAAAAATATAAATGGAGACTACACACATGGACCTCATCGGATGAAATACACAGAAATCAAATCAACTACATCTGTGGAAAGAAATGATAGAAAATATCAGTATCATCAGTCAGAATGACATCACAGTGTCTCAGAGACAAGTGACAATCCCAGTTTACACAAAGAAGCAAGATAAAGTAATACAAACAAGGGGCCAGAATACAGAGTGAGAAAACCTCCCTGAGGAAGAAGTGGGATTGGAACTACTTGATAAGGAATTCAATGGAATTTTATTTAGATACCATCAAAGGATCGAGAAACAGATCAAGGAAAACACAGACAAAATCAGGGAAAAAAACTGACAAAATTAAGGAAAACACAGACAAAATTCCAGAACAATTTGAAAAGCAGTAAGAGAACAAACTGACAAAATAAATAAAAAATCAGAAGCAATGCAGAAACAGAAAAGAGGAAATCCAGAAGATTGACACTAAGATTTCAGAAATAGATACCACATTGAAAGAACAAAACAGTAGAACTGAATCATAGAAGACAAAATGAGTGAGATCGAAAAAAAATCTCTCATTACTACTTTCTTAAGGGAGTAATCAGAACAAAAGTTAAAAAAAAAATAAAAATAAAAAAAGAACAAAGCCCAAGATTTATGTGGGACACCAATCACACCTATGTGTAACTAGAATTCCAGAACAGGAAGAGAAAAACAAAACCACTGAGAAAATTGTCCAAGATTTGCTGGAGGAGAACTTCCCTAATATGCTGAAATACAAGAACATATGCATTCGAGAAAATTCAATGAACACTAAACAGGATAGACCTCAAAAGGAAATCAGCAAGGCTTATAATCAAATTTACCAAAACCAAAGACAAAGAAACAATCCTGAAAAGAATCCCAAAAGCAGCATGGAAAAAAAAAAAAAGAAAAGTTACCTACAAAGGGGAACCAATAAGATTAAACTCTGATTTCTCAGTACAAACCATGCAACTGAGGTAGCAGTGGGAAGATGGATATAAACTCTGAAAGAAGAAAAATGCAAAGAAAGAATTATATACCCTGCAAAACTGTCACTCAAATACAGTGGCAAAATTCTGACATTCCCAGATAAACAGAAATTAATAGAATTTGTAAAGACTAGACCAACCTTTACAAGAAATGCTGAAGGGTGTCCTTCAGACACACAATAACCTGTGATTAACAATGATGACAACATAAACCAAACCAGATACACAAGCAGCCAAGTAAAATAAATTACAAGATTCCAAATAGGGAACCAGAGACATCAATTTGTAAATGAGGACAACTACAAACCAGAAGGGGGTAATACACAACGTCATTACAGAACTTTTGAATCAAGAAGAAGTCAAGACTATTTTGACACAGAACTGATTGTTTTAAACTTGGGAGGAAATAATAAATCACAGGGTAACCTCACGGAAAATTAATAAACCTTTTTATCAAAATGACAATGAGGAAAGGCACAAATATTTAGCAAATATAAAAAAATAGCAATGAAGAAAATAATTTTAAAAAATTCATGAACAAAATGAGCTTGGCACATGGACCAAAGAAATCAGCAACACCTCAAAAAAAAATAAAATAAAATAACAAAATGACAGCAATAAATTCATGATTGTCGATAATTACGCTGAATAGATTAAGTGCACTTGTGGTGACATAGTGCCTAAGGCATCTGACCGCTAACCAGAAGGCTGGTGGTTCAAACCTATCAGCCACTCCTCAGAAGGAAGATGGGGCAATCTATTTCCATAGTGATACCACCTCAGAAACCCAAGGAGGGGTTGCTATGAGTTGGCTCATTGCAGTGAGTTTGGTGGGTTTTTTTTTTTTCTTTTTTACCAAGACAGAGAGAGTTGGAGAATGAGTAAGAAGAAATGACCCATCAATATGCTGTCTATAAGAGACACACTTTAGACACAAAGACAAAAACAGACTTAAAATCAAAGGCTGGGGAAAAAAAATGTATCAAGCAAATGGCAATCAAAAAAGAGGAGTGACAATATTAATTTCTGATAAAATTGACTCTAAGACAAAAACCACCCTAAGAGACAAAGAAGGGCTTTATATAAAGATTACAGAATCAATCAAACCGGAGAACATAACCATAATAAATATCTATGCACCCAATAAAAGAGCACCAAATATGTAAAACAAATATTAAAAGAATTGAAAAGACAAATAGATGAGGCTATAATAATAGTTGTTGTTGTTGTTGTTGTTACATGCCATCGAGTCAGCCCTGACTCATAGCGACCCCTCCTTGGGTTTCCGAGACAGTATCACTACGGAAGTAGGATTGCCCAACCTTCCTTCCGAGGAGTGGCTGGTGGGTTTGAACCACAAGCCATCTGGTTAGCAGGCAAGTGTCTTAGCCACTATGCTACCAGAGCTCCCATAATAATAGTAGGAGACTTTAATACACCACTTCCCATGAAAGACAGAACAACTGGAAAGAAACTCAACAAAGTCACAAAAGAACTAAGCAATACAATTAACCAACTTGACCTTATAGACATCTACAGAGCACTTCACCCAACAACAGCACAATATACATTCTTTTCCAGCATACATGAAATATTCTCCAGAAAAGACCATATGTTAGGCCACGAAGCAAGCTTCAACAAATTTTAAAACACTGAAATATATACAGCAAAGCATCTTCTCAGATCACAATGGTATAAAATGAGAAATCAATAAAAGGATGATTAATAGAAAAAGGAAATGCATGGAAACTGAATAACACCCTCCTTAAAAACTACTGGATAACAGAAGAAATTAAAAAGTTCCTTGAATCAAACAAGAATGAAAACACAAGATACCAAAATCTTTGGGACACAGCAAAAGCCATGATCAGAGGGCAATTAATAGCAGTAAATGCACACATCAAAAGATCAATACCTTAACCCAACATATCCAACAATTAGAAAAAGAGCAGCAAAAAAGGTCTATAGTCACCAGAAGAAAAGAAATAATAAAGATTCAAGCAGAAATAAATGAAACAGAAAATAGAAAGACAATTTAAAAAAACAACAAGACTAAAGTTGGTTCTTTGAAAAGATTAATAAAATCAACAAATCACTGGCAAAC